CAAAAAAGGGGTAGCTCTTCCTATAAGCCTCCATCCCACAATCCTCAGAGTCAACCAATTCAACCAGCATTGAGGAAATCCATTCTCTAGAAGGCATTAAGAGATGTGTCCACATCCTCAATAAGGAAACACAAAAGGCCAAAAGAAGGCTCACTTCTGTATTGCTTCCACTTTGCTCAAGGGCCCTACACCTAGATGGTATGCTTACCCATTTTACAGATGTGACAATGCCATTAGGTATAATTAATGCCCTGAATGGCAGAATCCAGATCTGCCAGGGTTTGTGGATTGGGCAAAGGTTGTCTCACCTGCCTGGGCCTCAGATAATGGGAATGCTTAATGTTGAAGAATTTCCTCAGGTGCATTTTCCTCAATCTAATTAAACTGCTTTACTATAACTTTGAAGTTTGAGGGGTACTACCTGGCACATAGTAGGCACTTACCCAATGCTGAATGAAGGAGGGAGAAAATAACCAGTAAATGGAGAAATGTTCGGAATTCTAAGTGGTAAAGGTGAGGGAGGGCGTTCTGAGAGAGGGGGACCTTTCAGGAAAGGCAAAGAGATGGGTGCGTAGAGTTTAGCCAAGGGCACATTAGCAGCTTCCCCTGGATCAGAGAGTGTGTGGAGGGGATTGTGCCCCAGCTAGAGAGATCTGGACCCAAGACTTCTAGGGTCAGTGACAATCACAGGGTCAGTTTGGGTAGTTCCCCATGGCCATACAACTCTGGAGTTCCCATAGGATGTTTAGCTCATACTTCCAGTAGGACTGATGATCATGGCAGACACAGAAGCCCAGAAGACCCTCTCATGGCACAGGGTCTGGTACAAACCAGGGCTCAGGAAGGTGGCTATCTTGCTGACCCCTGACGAGACCTCCGATCTCACTTGACCACAGCTAACCCACACAGAGCAGGGGCAGTAGAAGCCTGAGCTGCCCTGGGGGAGGAGCAGTGCCATGATTGTCCTTGACTCCCTTATTCCTTGGGGTCCTTCAAGCCCCAGCTGAATTCCCACCTTCTGCAGGAAGCCTTTCGCAGTCCTCTTAATGCTAATGCCATCCCCTCAGAAATTATCTCCAAGTTCCCTGGTCTATAGCTTATTTATACATAGCTATTTGCCTGTTGTCTCCCCGTTAGACCATGAGTTCCTTGAGATCAGAGATTGTTTTTATCTTCTTTGATATCATCCTGACTTACCACAGTGCTTGGCACATAGCAGTGCTTAATAATTGCTTGTAGATAACTTGGGAGCAGCATCAACTATCTCTGCTACAGAGGTCCCCAAACCTCTCCCCCTACTTCCTGACATGACCCTCAGCCCCAGCGCTTCAGGAATGGTTAAGAAATGATGGGGGAGTAGGGGAAGGAGAGAAGAAAATTACACCAAGTGTTCCTGTCCTAGGACCCTGCTGAACCAACTTAGAAACTCATCCTTGACCAGGTCTAGGAGCTGGGGAAGCCACTGTGTTGGGATCTAGTACTGCTGGTCCTTGGGGGCAGACTGTGAGATTTATGACTCATGCCGGTACTGGATACTGAGAAGAGCGATATGAAAGGAGACGGCAGCCCCGGGCCAGTTATCAAGGGGACAGAAGAGAAACAGAATGTGCCCCTATGCAGGATGCTGAGAGTATGTGTTGGATCCTGAGGAAAGAGAGAAAAAAAGACTTCTGGGCCACATGATGGGTCTTGAGAGGACAGAGAAGAAGGAGACCTAGGAACCTGCACTAGGCCCAGAGAAGAAAGAGAGAAGAGCCCCAGGTCCTGGGCGGAGCATGGGGGAGCTCAGGGGGGGACAGCTCTCTGCTGAGTCCTGAGGGAGCTCCCAGGGCAGCAAGATGCTGACTTCAGCTGAAAGGTGTCCCATTCCGGGTTGTACATCTGGGAATGTGGATCATTCCGAGCCTCAGCATGCAAAAAATCAACACTTTAATCAAAATATGTAAAAATACCCCCAGGTGAAAACAGTTCCCACAGAATTAAAGCAGTCCTCCTCGCCCCCAAAAAATGAAAGGAGGTTGCAGGCCAGGAAATTAAAGTCCCCGAGGACTCCAAGCATCCTACTGAAGTCCTAAGAAGCACACGTATAACCTTCTTGCCCAAAGGGCCATGGCTGGTCACAGGACCATCCACCTGGGGGCCAAGTTAACTCAAAATGGTCCTTGTCTCCAACCTGGCTTCTCTACTCCCAACCATCCCAACTGAGACTTTGAGCCTGGAGGGGGTTAGAATCACATCTCCCCAGCCTTGTAAGACAGGACAGATTTCTATTAACTACCATGATATTACTCAGGGAAAGAAGAAGTTGTGGGCTAATGTGTGGAGGCAAAAAGGGGCCTGAGAGTGAGAGAAGAGACGAGCTGTAATGTCCACACCAGGGGAGGGCAAAGAGCTGGGAGGAACCCCTGAGGCCGCCCTTGGATCCCTGGCACTGCCCAACACTCACTACTTATCTCCAGAAAACTCAGTCTCCGGGCCCCTGTTTCCTCACCTATAAAATTGAGGGGTGGGATTCGGCGTCCAAGGCCCTCCTGGCTCTGTCCTCAGCTGTGTCTAAAAGCCTTGCCTGTGGCTAGGCCAAAAGATGGAAACAAAGGATTGGTGACATAACGAGGTAGTCCTGAGGGCCCCTTCCCCTTCTGGAAGTGCCGATGGGGAAAGAGCCTTTGGGTCATGGGGCAAGTAAAGGGAAGCTGGATGTGGGTACACCTTCCACACCCCCTAAAAAGTCCCCATTTCCTCTTCCTCTGCCCAGAGGCATGAGCTTTGGGGCACATCTGAGAGAGGGTGAAAGAACTGGCCTTGCTGACCACGGAGAGTCATGTGCCACAGCCGAGCTCAGGCTGACGTCTTCTCAGCCCACCCAGAACCTCTACGGTGTTCCTGGATTCTCGTCCGGTTCAACAAAATATGTGTGTGGCCACAGTGTGGCTTATCTATGGAAGGTGCTGGGCAGAGAGGGTCACAGAGGAGAAGAGGCCTCAAAGGTGGGCAGGGGCTCAGGACCAGAGGCCAAACTTGAGGCAAATTCAGTCATTTTTAAGGCCTGTGCAAGACCAATGACCACTCACTTCTTGCCCAGCCCTTTCCAGGCCAAGATTTCCAGGCAGATCCAGGCTGTTGGTGGACCAGCTTAGAAAAGACATTCTTCACTGGTCAGTGTGTGTGTGGGGGGGGGGGGGGCCACTCAGGCAGGCCCTCTAGTGTCTGCCTTTCAGGAGGTATGAAGTCCCTGAGGGATTTCCAGGAAGAGGCTGGTGATGACCCTGTTCTGAGGCAGTGGAGGGTGTTGTTCCTTCTGGTAAGGCCCTGAGGGGGTGGTATGGTGTCCCACATGTAAGGCCCTGCCACTATAACCCCTGTGATGGAGGAAGTGTCCTCCCCAAAGAGCCTGACTCCTTCCTACTTGTTTGAGTGTTCACACACTCACAAAGTCACACTCGGAGTCACACACACATACACACACATACACACAGAGCCATGCAGACACACACACACCATACGTGTGCACACACCTTCACACACCCCACAAACACACACATGCACACATGTTCACACATACACACACCCACATGCAACACATACACACATATTCACACACATACACACACCCCACATGCACACACACATATTCACACACACATGCACACATCCCACATGCATACACATATATTCACAC